CCTTCTCCTTCTCCTTCTCCTTCTCCTTCTCCTTCTCCTTCTCCTTCCACTGATTGCCTGGAGCCAGACCTCCAGGCTGCAGTTATCCTCACCTCAGGCTATTCCTTGTCCTGGAATATTTCATGGAAGACTGGAACAGAAAAGTATGAGATAAATAGAGTAAACTGACAGGAACAGCAATGATGTTTATTCTTTCCCATTTCAAATACTTTTGCTTGTCTGTGTTCGTGTAAATAAATTTATCCCCAGTGTAAGGAACAAGTATGAAATGCAGGAGAAAATGATTGAGAATTCCCACTGTCAGCCCCCAGAGCGAGGACTGAGCTCACAGAGCTGCTCTGCAGGGGCTGGCAGAGGAGTGGAAGAGCCAGGCTGGCATTTCTGCTGGAAGAAAAGCAGGATCACTGAGCACGAGGCCGGAGGGGCCCGGAGAGGTTGTTCAGAAAAACCCGCCCTGCTCAACCTTTGCTGGCAGATGTTTGTCCAACCTGCCCCGAGAAACCCTCGGGGATGGGGCTCCACCACCTCTCCTGGCACTGCTCTGCAGCACCTCGGGGTTCCCAGCCCATGCCCTTGTCTCACCCTGGCTGGGTTCATCCAGGGGTTTTGTGCTGGCTGGCCGTGGCTGTGGGGGATAATTTCCTGCCTTCGGGAAGTGGGGAGAGAAACAAAACAGTTCAGATTCAGTTCCCAGCTCACCTTTAAAATTCACTTTACCACTGAAGCAAAATGCCACTGGCTCTCCACGAGGGATCTCCAGGCCTTTTCCAGCAGAGACTGAAGAATACCCGGGAAATGTGCTGAAACCACATTTTTGTGCCAGGGATCTGGCAGCAAAGTCAGCTCAGCAGGGAGCCAGTAAGGTCCTGAGGGTGGCTGGGAGCAAAGTGGTGTCAGAGCAGGCAGGGAAAGCACTGTCCCCTCTCCCAGATCCAGGTGTTTGGCTCCCTAAAGCCAGGGATCTCTGCCGGATCCTCTGTGCCAGCATCTCCTCCTCACCCTCTTCAGCCTCTCCTCCTCCTCGTTTTTCCCCATCCTGCTGTTCCTCTCGCTCCTCTGACCATCCCTGCAGCAGCACTTCCCTCTCCTTCTCCCAGCTCCTGCTCACAGGGCTCTCCCACAGCTCCTCTTTCCCTGCCCTCTCCTATTCCCACTGATCCCACTCACAACATTCCGCAGCCTGAGGACAACACAGACAACTTCAGGGATCCCCTTCTCCACCCCACCTCTGTATTCCAGGCCTGGAGCACTGGGCAGAGCTGGAGTTCTGAACCTGCAAGAGAATCTCCACATTTAACCCTAACATAACATAACCCTGACCCAGCCCAAATCCTTTCTGAAGTCTCCTCTTTTCCAATGCCTGCACAAAACCCCTCCAAGTTTGACTGGCCTGGTGCTCCCCCCAGTCTGCCATGGCAGCCAGTGTCGTCTCACTGCTGCTCTGTGTCCTCCACCCACCACATTGTCCCATCTGCTGTCTCTTCCCTCCCTGTGCAGTTCTCAGCTCTAAACAAGGACCATATTTTCACGTTGCATTTTTGTAGCTCCCAGGAAAAGGTGGCTGAGCCTCCCGGGAGCTCCTGCAGGATGGCTCTGGGTTCCTTCAATAAATGCAAATTGCACACATAGATTAAATCACGGAGTCCTGCAGTGGGTTGGGTGGGAAAGGGCCTTGAGGATCACCCAGTTCCACCCCCTGCCATGGGCAGGGACACTTTCCACTAGACCAGATTGTTCCAACCCTTGGACACTTCCAGGGGTGGGACAGCCCACATCCACATGGCTTTTAAGTCCCTCCAGGGATGGGGACTCCACTCCTGCCCTGGGCAGCTGTGCCAGGGCTGGATAACCATCTCCATGAAGAAATTTTCCCCAGTACCCAACCTGACCCTCCCCTGGCACAACTTGAGGCGTTTCCTCTTGTCCTGTCTCGTTACCTGGGAGAAGAATTTGATCCCAACCTGGCTCCACCCTCCTGTCAGGGAATGCAAAGTCTTTCAGAGATTGTTCCTTTGTCTCCTCTGGTCCCAGTGTCTCCTCACTTCCCACTGCTGGCTTTCCTGGATCTCTCCTCTTTCTCCTTGGTCCCCTGAACCTTCTCCCATGGGTTCCATCTTTCCTTCCATGACATGCCTGCTCCTATAAACCCTTATCCATCCATCCCTTGTGCTACCCAACAGGCCTGGAGTGGCTTTAGCTGGTTTCCACCTAACAGGTCTCAGGTGGCTGTAACTGGTGTTCTGAGTCCCACAGGATGAAGCTGGGAGTGCTCAGGGCAGTCTGAGTGCACTGTTTAAATTGTCATTATTGCAGCTGCTGCTCTCGGTGGCAGCACAGCACCTTATTTACTGTGCTGGGCATCTGCTTGCAGTTGGCATCTTTAAGGGCTGGGGTTTTTTTAAAGACTGGTTTTAAAACAAACCAGTGAACCCCTTGAATGCCTTCTTTGCCAGCTGCCTTCCTCCTTCCCTGGGTCCGGACCAACGCTCCCTTCTCGTTCTCCTCCTGCCGATGGAGCCTTTTCTTCTTCCTCTTAATGACTCCTGCCTATTTCCATCTCAATTTGGCCTTTCTGATGTCTCCCCACATGCTTATGCTCCCCTTGGAACTGTCCTTAGTAATTTGACCCAGTTCCCACTTTCCAGAACCCTTTTTTCCCAAGCCCGAGGTCAGTGAGGCGCTGGCTCCGCAGCCCAGCTGGTTCCTGCCGTGTTTCCTATTGGGATGGCCCCGTGTGTGCTGTTTGCAGCCTTCCTTTGAAGCCCTGCCAGTTTCCTTAACTCCTTTCACTTTTAAACGTGCCTCCCATGAGATCCCACTTCTCCAAGTGTCCCGGCGTCCCTTGTCTTTGTTCTTCCCTTTCCTTCCACATCCCTCTGTGAGGGGTGTGAACTCGCTCGCTCCGCACTCGGTCTCAGGCAGTTTTTCTCCTGCCTTTACGTTCCAAACCGGTGGCTGGTGGCTGGTTGCCATCGCTGCCAGAGCCCTGCTGCCTTCCTCTCCCAGCAGAACCAGTTCCCCCAGTGCTGTGCTGGCCAGAGACACCGGGGAGCTGTCATGGTTCAGGCCATCCCAGCGCATGCCCAGCTCGTCGTTCCCACACTGGGCATTTTACAGTTTATGAAGATTAAGAGGATTTTGCATTTCTCCTCCCTTTAAATCTAACACAGAGCCATTTTAATACTGGAATCACTCCCAGTTCCAGCCAGACTGAAAGTAATGGAGTAATTGGTATTTCCCATCACTGAATGCTGAGATCCTGTTGCTTTCTGGCTACACAAATACCAGTGAAGGGTTCCTACAAGCCAGGAGGCAGCTCAGTGGTGGTGGGAACACCTAGATGTCACCAGAGATGCTCCCACCGTGACCTACAGGACACCTCTCCTCCCAAACCTGCCTTTGGGTCACTGGGAACATCCCAGAGCTCCCCATGTAACGCTCCTGTGCTGAGGGTGGGCAGAGCAGCTCCCAGGGATGGTCCAAAAGGGTTTGGGAATGGCCCCTCCTTTCCCTGTGGGCTGGAGGTGGGACAGTGCAGGTGGGATTCACCCACCACGTGTAGATGTGAGTGACTGGAGATGTCTGGACTGCAGCCACAGGCAGAGGGAGCCCGACTGTGGAGGCCACGGGACAGGAGAACCAACTGAGGGGAGAGGAGACAGCCAGCCCCATCTTCCACATGCTCCTCAAAGGAAAGGGTGGGGGACCAAAGGACGTGGTGCCAGGGTGTCTAGAAGGGCACAATGGACAGACATGGCACTGCCAGCTCCAGGCAGCTCAGGGAGGGATGGACAAACCCGGGATCCCCCAGGAGCAGCGTCCTGCACCGAGGGCACTGAGCACAGGCTGACAGGGACCATGGCACTGCTGCTGCCAGCCCTTCTGCCCTCCTTCCTGGCTGGGGAACTGGACTCTTGGATGTCGAATCAGGACTCAGCCGATGAATTGGGATGGTTGGTCAGTGAGTCTGGACTCTCAGCTGGTGCACTGGGACTCTTGGGTGGTGAATCAGGACTCGGTTGTGAATCGGGACTCGGTGAATCGGGACTCAGTTGTGAATCAGGACTCGGTTGTGAATCAGGACTCGGTTGTGAATCAGGACTC